CCGTGGTTGGGGGCGCCGGGGAGGCGGGGCCGGGGAGCGTCCCGCGGCGGCCGGAGCCCTGGGCGCTGTCCTGCGCGTCCCGCGGTCCCGGAGCGTGGCCGCCTCTCCCCACCATGCTCCTGCTGCTGGGGCTGTGCCTGGGGCTGCCCCTCTGCGCGGGGGCGCAGGGGGAGGCGCGGAGCTGGGGCGACACTTCGGAGCAAGTAAGTGGGAGAGCCGGGGGGCGCGGGGGCCCCGGGCGCGGCTGCTGTCCCTTCCCTCCGCCTTCCCGGGCCTCGTGGCTGCCGGCCGGGCTCCCTCTGGCCGGCGCTGGCCGTGAGGAAGGAGGCATCCCGCGCCCGGCCTTGCGCGGCGTCCCTGTCCCCAGCCTTCTGCCCGGGAGTTTCCCCAGCTGTTGGTCACGCGTGGGTCACTTCTGCCGCGGCGCCCGCCTCCGCCTGGGTTCCCTGCAGGGTCGCGCCCGCGGCTTCCAAACCCTGCAGAACCGGGTTTTCTTCTCCGCTCCTGTTATCCGCGCAGATTTCTGCCAGTCGTTGTTAATTTCTGACACAGAGCCCCCAGGTTAATGACAAGATTTCTTCTTTACCGTGTGTGGGGACAGTTCGTCGTTGCTGTTCCTAGTTGGTCCAGGCAGAAAAATGGCTCATGTCACAGGTGAATGCAACCCGCAGGTGCGGACTCTCAATACGATGTCTGATGACTAGGAACGCTCTTGGGAAACTGTAAGGAAGATTTGCACAATCTCATTAAGATCTTATATGATAAGTGGCTGTATCACAATTAAAATAGTGCGTTGACACACATAGCACTTAAATATTAAGTCCTTTAGTTTACAGCATGTTTTTGCATGATGGGAGCGTGATAGAAGCTAGCAGACCTTTTCTGCCCTTTCCCAGTTTCTTGTCTGGAACAGCAGATCTGGAAGACGAACTGTCCAAACATCAGATGGTCGTTTTCACGCTGACCCTGTCTTACGAATGTGTGTGTCGGTAAAATGGGAGTAATGGCAATTTTCTCTTGGGGTTGTCAGGAGGAAAAGCTAATAAAAAACCCCAGGAGCCTTCATGGTGGTGTAGGAGAGTGCAGGCTTTGGATGCAGACAGACAGACTGGTGTCCACTTAGTTGTGTGGCTCCAGCACACTCTTTAATGTCTCTGAGTCTTCTTTTCCTTGTTCCTTGTTGGTCACAGCTGAGAACACAGCTCCTTTTGTACATCTTGTAAGGATTCCGTCAGTTTGTGTTAAGCACCTGGTATACAGCCAGCACTCAATAACTGGGAGATGTTTCCTTAAGTGGTTAAGGGCATGCACCTGGCACCAGGAGGTCCAGGTTTGATGCCTGGTTGTGTCACTTACCAGCTCTGGGACCCTGGGCTGGGTCCTCCTGGCCTCAATTTCTTCTTGTGTAAAATGTGGAAAAATAAGAGGGCTGTGAGGACTGAATGAGCAAATGCCCGTAGAGTGCTTCAAACAGCGTCAGCTGGTGGTTGCCACGGGCTTGGGCAGCTGCAGTGCGGACCGAAGGAATTTAGGGTAAAGATCTTGAAGCTTTTTTGGAGGGTGGAGCCAGGACAGTGTGGGATGAACTGAAACAAAGATTCTGTTTATGAACCAGGAAGACCAATGAGACTCTACCGTTCACAAGGCCAAGCAGGCTTAACACTCGCTAGACTTTCCTTCATAGGAATACATGGGTTTGGCCCGTGTTAGTCATTTCGTGCTGTCTTCAACCCACAGCAGTACTTATTTATCTTGAAAATGATTAAAGCAGGAAAAACCTGATTTGAAACCCAAGGTATAAAGTTCTATGAAATTTAGGTAAAATTTGCAATTTTATCTTTTATCCCTACTCTCTATATTTTTTAAATTTAGTTTTCGTGATGTAGAATTTGAGAGCATGGGCTTTGGCATTAGACTTCCTGGGTTTAAACCCTGGCTCCGTACTTACTGGGGAGTTACTTATTGTCTGTCAGCCTCTGTCTCTGAATGAGGATGATGTGATTACTTAATTAAAAGGATTGTGAAATGTGAAAGAATTAATATACTTACATTTTTGAACAGAACCTGGCAATGTCATGAGTGCTCTATTCTCAATAATTATGGTCTTTAAAATTGTAAACCTAATTTTTAAAATGTAACAGGTTATGCAAATCTCATGCAGATTTTAATGTAACAGACTGTGACTATTAATTTACATTGCAATTCTTTTTCGTCCTTTGCCTTCCATTGGAAATATACCTCTAACGCCTTAGATTCAGGTTGCTTCACCTCTCACCCTCCGTTCCATCTGCACACAGTATTACCCAGAGTGGAATGGCTACTAGCAGCAGTGGTTTTCAACCTTCAGTGTGCAATAAAAATAAACGAAGCACAACAGATTGCACATTTTGACAATCTGACAAACACCAGAAATGTCACCTATTGTTAGGGGCCTATACAAGGGGTGGGGGTCCCAAAGCTTACATGTATTAGCTTTTAAATAATAATCAAGTATTAAATAAAAATAATAATTCCAGTTCTGCTTTTATGTTTGTGAGGATTAAATGAGTTAATTCAGGGAAAGCATTTGCATAGTAAACACTCAAGTAATATTAGCAGTTTTTAGTATCTATGCACAGCCCAATTGAATCCCCGGCTACCACAGCAAGGTCTTAGTGCACTTGCTTTAGGGAGGACAACCAGGAAAGTGCTTTCCCAAAAGTGATGGATCCAACCTCCTCTGTGCAGAGGCTGGATTAGAGCCCAGGTATGCTGAGCGCCAAAGCTGGGCCTTCAATGACTCCTCCAAATAGTAAGCTACTTTCATGCTTGTAATTTTGCTTAATTTGTTTAAATGTAATTTTTTTTTTTTTTTTTTGAGACAAGGTCTTGCACTGTCACCTGGGCTAGCATGCAGCAGCATCATCATAGCTCATTGTAACCTCCAACTCCTGGGCTCAGGTGATCCTCCTGCCTCAACCTCCTGAGTAGCTAGGACTACAGGCATGGGCCACCACACCCAGCTAATTTTTCTATTGTTTTGCAGAAATGGGGTGTCACAATTCTCCCACCTTGGCCTCCCAAAGTGCTAGGATTACAAGCGTGAACCGCTGCGTCCAGTCTAAATTCAATTTTTATCTGTAGCTCCTGATACCTAGAGAGTGTTCAATACATGCTGCTCAGATTTCAAATACATCTATATATTGTGGTGTTATGGATCTACTTCCCTGAATTGGAAGTTTTCAGATTTTTAATTTCTTATAAATTCTCACTCAAATCTTTGCATTTGGGAAAAAAGGAGAGAATCAAGACAACTATTTTTTTGTTTTTTAACTCTTTAAAAAAATAAAGCCAGTGAAAGATTTTGTAAGCTGCAGGCCACTCAATAATGTCTCCTTTATGTGCACTGATGAGAGTGTTGCAATGGGATTGCAGAGCTGAGCGAGGAAGGAGGATGTTATGGGAGAAATTCCAGAGATTTGCTCGCTCCCAAACCAGACATATCTCCTTTCTTGGGGGCGGAAAGGAGGGATGGGGAAGGAGAGGGGGGTGGGGAAGTCTAGAGTACTGGGTGATGGGTGGTATGTGCCTTCGTGTTCCTAACCGGCACTTTCCCCCAGTGCTTGGGTGCTCAGTGTAAGGCCGTCTTGCTGACTGTGCCATCAGAACCACTGCTGTATCCAAGGAACAGGAGAGCCGATCTAGGAAGCTGGGACCACGGATGAACACCTGAGCTTTTCTGGGGTGTCGGGGGAGGCATTCCGAATCACTCATTATTTTCCCACAAGCAGGGTCCATTTCCCTGATTTTTCACAGGAAAAGGAAAGAAACAGGGTGACTTGCCTAAGGCCAATGCTTTTTAAAATTTTTAATCTGCCTGGAAATCGTTTGGAACTTTAGCTGAAACATCAAGTTTCTTCTTCCATTTACTGAGGTTCTAGGCACCCCAAATTGAGAAAGGTTTGTAGCTGAACAATTTGCAGCAACATTACTCCAAAGGAAGGTGATGTCAAATTACCCAAGTAGGAATATTCCCAGACCAACCATTCTCGGCCCACATGATAAATGGCATCTCGTGTGACTTCCCAACGTCTGGCCCTTGGTTTTCTTCCAAATCCTATAGCAGATCGCTAAGATAGCTGACTCCTTAGCTGCTGGGTCTTGGTGTCAGGATTTCAGAATACCCTCAGAAGAATAGGGGCAACTGGCAGATAAATTCCTCCTACAGATCCCTTTAGGAACCCATGACGTCGGTCAATTGAAGGTGTTTGGCTGAGGCTGGACCAAGTGTAGCGTCTCTTGGATCTGGTATGGGACCTACAGCCATGGATGCAGTGACAGAGCGCAGAAGGAAGAGCAGCAGATATAAATCCTGCCTTTACTTCTCTCTTCCAGTCAACCAGGTCATTAAAGCATCCATACCAAAAAAGGAGTGTATGTGCTCAAGAATTCGGCTTTGTTTCTCTTTTTCTGTCCCCCGTTTTTCCTTCCCACCAATGGACTCTTGGAATGTTTTCAGGGCTTTTCTCTTTTGCTCTCTCAGTTGGGATCCCATCCTGTGATAGCTCCTGGGAAAAAACAGAGCCGCTATTATTCAAATTACAAACACTGAAGCAGCACCTGCAATTTTTTTCACCTATAGTTGCACTCGTTAATAATGGGGCGGGTGCAGATACTTTAAACGCTGCGGCTCTGATGGCGTTCTTGCTGCATGCTCGCGCAAAGGAAACCCTTACCTGCCCTCCTGTTTCCTGGCAGTGAATGCTGCCTGGTCCATGGGAGTTAAAGAGCCAGGGCAGATCTATGAAGCTGATATTCTGAGCACAGCTCCTGTATGGAACCTTATTCTCTTTAACTTCTTCCCACTCCCACAAACAGCTACACAGCTGGTTCTAGCTGTATCTTCAACATAAAGCCTTTCACGGTCCCTCAAGAACATAGTGACCTCTTCTTTTTCCCATTTCCTTTGTGACATCTAAAACGTCCCTTGTCTATTACATTTTCACTCGTAGATTTCTTTTTTGAAAGTTAGATAGTGTGGTGTTTGATGGCAGAGATTGTGGCTTATACGTTTCTTAATAAATATGGTGGTCTGGACATCTGTTCTGATGCTGGAGAAATAAGCTCAGCTGGGTAGAACCAAATGAATCCTAGTGATCCAGCTCCTAAGTCCATGCCTGGGGCCCTAAGCAAGTGAGCGGAAGCTCTGAGATGACTATTTATGGTAGTTCTTGTCATGAAGCTGGAAATCAGTTAACTTCTCTGTCCCCAAACCTCACCCTCAGTTTTTTATAAGGCAACGGGGAAACACACACACAATAAAAAGGACCAGGAACTCCTAACAAAAAACAATGATGATGACATTAGGGTCATTTCCACTTCCAATCCTTGCAGGCACCAGGAAACCGTGTGTACAGGGAAGTTTTGATTCTGCGTCAAGCTGAGTTTAAACTTGGACTGAAGTAGCCATAGTGATCCCTGGGGACATCAGATAGTCATCTCAAAAATGAAAAACCAACTTTTCTTGTTCTTCTGAAAGCATGCTCATTTTCTTGGAAAACCTAGTTCAGAAAGGAGGAAACTTCAAAGAAAATACTTTAGCTCAATCAGCAAACTTAATACCTGAGAGGGGCTGGGCTTCCCCCACGGGCCGTGGTTATTTTAAGTGGTCCCCAGACTATTCCACAATTTTAGGGAGGGAAAGGCCTGAGATGAACCTGCAAACCCGGAAAGAACTTGCCCAGGAATCTTAGTATGGCCTTCGTTTGAGGGTCTCTCCGACACCTCACCTCATTTTAGGGGAGACTGAGAGGTAACAGCTAACAGGTGCAGCGTTTGTTTTTAGGAAAATAAAAATGTCTCAGTTAAATGTGGAGATGTATATATAGTATATACATCTATATACATCTATATAGTATATAGTATAGATACTATATACTAGATGGTGTATGCTATGTACTATACAGATGTATATATAGTATAGATACTCTACTACATAGATACTATATAGTATATATAGTATATATACTATGTAGATACTCTCATGTATAGTAAAGAACATTTACTTGCGTACTTTAAATGAATGAATTTTATTGTATGTAAATTATATCTCATAAAGATGTTTAAAATATGCATAAAGTCTAGGCATATTTTTCAAGTTTTGATCTACATTGTCAGATTGCCTTCCAGAAAGGAAAATTTATTACTCACAGTAATGACAGTTTACGCTTCTGTTATTTAAACAGAGATTTGTCGTGAATAATGTTCAACAACCAGCTAAGACTTTTAAATTTAGTCCAGAGGGGCTGGTTAATTATTAATGAGAATTTTTTTTAAAAAAAGACTATTTTATGCCCCTCCTCTGCATGTGGGAGAATAGAACAAAATATCCAGAAAAGACATAATAAGAAAACTCAAGGTAAGTTCAGTTCTGCTTCCAGAGTTTCCTGGAGTTTTGAGCTGAATAAGGCAGGAGCCCATCCGAATAAGGCCGACAACCGTCACTCATTGTAGTAGACGCGATAGCAAAGAGCTTAATTTTAAGCCCAAAATAAAAGGAAACAGATACCAGTATTCTAATGATCTTTTTGTTTTTGTCATTTCATCCACACTCCTCTAAGAGATTTAAGAACACTCAGGGGACAAGGTAGTGTGACATTATGGGTTAACTAAGTCTGAGATGGATGAATTCCAATTCTGGCCTGGAAACAAACTCCCCAGTAAAAAAGTCAAAGCTACTTTTCACGATATATAGACCTTTTGGTGAATTCGAGTCAGTTTAATCCCCTGGTATGACTCATGTAAGAATGACCTCACAATCATGTTTTGTGTCTCTCCTCTTTTTACAGGTTGGACTGAGGGTCCCGAGGCAAGTGCGGCTCTTGCAGAGGCTGGTACGTACACCCACGGTCCCTCTCCAAAGCCCACTCCCTCACTCTTCTATTTATCTTGAACCAGGCATCCACTTGGCTTGCGGGTCCTCCAAATCTTATACAGTTGCTTGTAGAAGAATTCTAACATCATACAGCATAGCTGATTCTTTTAATAAGGCTTTGTTTACGTGGATTTTTTTTTTTTATAGAAAGAGAACTGATTATTTCAGCAGGACTATTAAGGACAAAGCATGGAGTATCAAAGATCTTCTAAAAGAAAACAAACAAAACCTAAATATAACCTTGTATTTTTAATGACATCCTTACCCGGGAAATAAAAGCTTTGTTAGAAAGTAAACAACTAAAGCAACCAGAGAATTCACATTTGCAGATTAGAGCATCGGGTGATGAGAGTTGGGCAGGCTCTTGATATCTGTTGGAGGCTGATAGTTTGGAACTTGAGCAAATGTCCAGAAACAATAAGAGCTTATTTGAAATGATCTCAGTTCTTCCTTGCTACTGTGCGTGCCGTGGAAGATCCAAACGTGGGCCATGCCTTGAGGCTCTGGTGAGGCGTTTTCGAACCCTCCCTGCATCTGGCTGGAGTGTGAGTCGATTCCGATTTCTTGTTACACCAATGTCACAATCATTACCATCTTCTTTGGACTGGGACTTTGTATTCTTTTCATTTATAGCTTGGCTTTTCTCTTCCCCCACCACTCCCCCGATTCTCGCAATCCTGCCTTCCCACACCCCAAATTTTTTAACTTAGAATTCATTCTTTCATGTTTTCTCCGTGTTCACATAATCCTAGACAAACATATACCTACATAAGTGTGTCAAGAATCGGGAAGGGGCTGAGATTTTACCCTACTTACAAGCTAATAAGTTAATTTGTTACCATTTCATGGATGCTAGCAGGTAACGGGAGACTCCGGGGTCAGAGACAAAGGACGACTTATTACTCACAGTGAGAGCAGTAGTCAGAGTAGCCACATGTGTGCCATTCCCCAGTTCCCATATGGGGATACAGAGAGGGCCATATTGCACCCTGTGCATGCAGTTGGTTTGCACTGCACGACAGCAACTCCGGCTTGGGGTATGTAGTGATATCTCATTACTTCTTTTTTTTTTT